TCTTTACAACTCTGTGCCTGATATGGCCTTTGCTTGCTATCTGTGGTGTTAGTGAGACTCTGGCTGCAAGCTCTGAGGAGGCAGGACTGCAGGATGGCTCAGAGGTGGGATGGAGGTGTCAGCAAAATCTACACAGAGCCCAGGACTGAGGCCAGCAGGCTTGGAGTGGGCCAGTCTTCAGGAGAACACATGGGCAAGGCACATCGCTAGCAGGTTAGATAGGAAGTGCCTGTGTAACACCTCCCACAGGTGGCCCTGTGTTTATGCTGTGGGGCAGATGAGGAAAATGGTGCCTGACAGCTCCTTTGTTCTCAGAGAAGGCCCCCAACACACTTGAAATCACTACAAGGAGACCTTCCTCCCTCCCATTTGTCCCAGGCACTGTGCAAACTGTAGCTTCTAGGTTGTCTATGGTCTTTTTAAGGGCAAGACCCAGCTATCACTCACCCTCCCATCTTGCCCAGCACTGAGTCAGCTGACTTTTTAAGCCCCAGGCTCTAAATCCTGCTAGTTATACAAACCCATAGAATTCAGCCCCTCTGATTTTCAAAGCCAGGTGTTATGGGGATTCATCTTCCCAGTTTGGGCTCCCAAGTGTGAGAGAGCAAGACCGTTTCTTTGACCTCTCTGCACCCACAGTTCCCTCCCTTCTGTGGGTAGCTCCCAACCACTGTTTCTGCCCTTCTTAATTTCCTAAATGTGGCTTCTTCTCTACATTTAGTTATGGAGTTTGTTCTGTCAGTAGTTGGACTGCTTTCTGTTATTTTACACAGATGTGTATGATATCTAGTTGTAAACATGGGATGAGGTGAGCTCAGCGTCCTCCTACTCCACCATCTTCCTAAACTCTCAACAATGCAGGTATTTTAAAATCAAATTAACCAAGTAAAATATAGCATAGAGCTTTTATGACATACTGTTTTAACTTAAGTCACCACTTTTTAAAGATATTACACACCTTAAAGTTTTTTCAAAGAAGCAAGTGAAATATTTACTTGGGTCTACTAACTGATCACAAAAATTCTATTTTTGCTCTAAATTCTACTAATAGTTACAACTGAATGAGTTTCTCATTTTTCAGTATAAAGTTATATCCCAACACTTTGAGTCATAAAATAGCCACACTGTGGTAGAAATTCATATAACAATACTCAGGGAAATGGAGGGAGCTGCAGAATGAGGATCATAAAACAGTCAAGAGTCCATGTATTCTCACAAAATTTCATTAGAAAACCTTAAATTCCATGTTATCCTAATCTATTTATTTACCTTTGGAGAAATTTAGTATCAAGGAGAAGACACTATTCTTATCTCATTAAAACTGGACTATTTTTTTCCCAAAGACAATGCGAAAAGAGAGGGAAAAAAAGGAAGAATGAAAGAGTTGCCACCATTAGATATCCCTCAATCAGTATCCTTCATCTGTTTTCATTTTTGCTGTTTGTACCTTCATTATAAGAGTCATTGTTCTTTTAAAGAATAACTAAGCTTTCCCAAGAGAACTCTACCTGCCGAACTTTCAGGAAATACCTTAAAATGCAAACAAAAACTAGGGATCAATAATACTACACTAAGGTTCTGGAACGTGGGACCTATGACATACACAGTAAGAAAATGCAAACACTCAGAAAAGAGAGGTGAAAAAAAGCTATTACTATCAACTGCAACCCAAGTTTGTTAGGACAAACTTGATAAAACATCTAGCTTATTAAATCATAAGGGATATGCAATGAGATTGTGTGCCACAAGATGGCAGTTGTGCAGTCTAAGTAGCTCTTATTCCAAAAGAATTTGGTTCTTATTCATGGGTGTGCATGGAGAATTTAAGATCTGTACTACTGTTCTTTATGAACAAGATAAAAACTACGTTGGAACAGTTATAATAATCTTTCTTACACTGTTCATAACACTGTTGCTCTTTTAGCCAGGACTGACCATCTCAGATTAGAGGTAACTTCCTCAGAGAAGCTGTCTCTGCCTAATCTGGAGTGAGTTAGCGATCCTTCCTTTGTGCTATCATGTCCCAATAAATCCCCAATAGCAGATGCACCTTGTTAGTAGGCTACGTCCCCCGTTAAACTGTGGGGTCTTGAGAGACTCTGTACATCTTCTTTGCTATTATACCCTAATGACTGGTATAGTGTCTGGCACACAGTAAATATTTAATTAATATATATTGAATGAATGACTATAGTAATAATTAGCATTTTCGGAGCATTTACTAAATGATAGGTACAGTAGTGATATTAAATCATTTAACCCTCATAGCAACACTACAAACTAGGTGCCATAATTTCCATGAGAGTGAGCATGAAACCTTGCCCACACCCACAGCCAATAACAGTAACTATTTGAAATCAGAATTGTCTGACTCTAAATCCTGGGTTCTTAACCACCAAGCTGTATATACTTCTAAGTATTAAACTATGTTGATCCAGGCTTACTATACCTTAAGGCTCCTGAACTGGCTCTTCCCCTTTGGTTCTACTCTTGACTCTTTCTATCTACTCTCACAACTTCTACTAAACTTTAAGCAATAAGTAATAACTATTTTTTTCCAGAACATTTTCCTCTAATACAGAGAAAATTCTAAGTACAAAAAGTCCAGCCCAGTCCTTCATTTTAAGTGGGTTTGAAGAAGAGACACAAAAATATCTGACACATTTTAAGTTTTTGTAAGGATTCTGGGAGCCTAAGGAGAGACACAGGAGAAAAGGCTAAGTTTTCTCTTTACGAAAACCAACTTTTGGTTTTGTTATAAACTTTCAATTTAACACAGAATCCATTACAGCCAGTGCAACAACAGCAACAACAACAAGTTATTTTCTAAAATGTTTCGTCATCTGTAAAAAAAATTTTTTAACGTTTATTTATTTTTGAGAGAGAGAGACAGAGACAGAGTGTGAGTGTGGGAGGGGCAGAGAGAGGGAGACCCAGAATCCAAAGCAGGCTCCAGGCTCTGAGCTGTCAGCACAGAGCCTGACCTGGGGGCTTGAACCCACAAAGCATGAGATCATGACCTGAGCCAAAGTCAAATGCTCAACTGACTGAGCCACCCAGGAGCCCCATCATTTTTTAGTGAAGAATATAATATGAAGAAATCACTGCTGTGTATACTTAGTTATTGCTACTACAGAGTTTCCACAACCAAAGATATTCAAACAGTGGACTCAATCTGTCCCCTCCCAAACTAGTCTTGTTGCATGCTATCTGATTTTCTGTTAATAGTACCTTTTGTCAGGTACTTAGGTTTTCAACACTTGGCTCCTACCAAGGATTGGAGGGAAAGAGAAAAAAGGAAACTATCGGGCATTCGGTCTTCATTTTCTTCTACTGCACATCTCAACTTTGCCTCTTTCTCTTTAATCCTCCACTATCACCCAATCTCAGTCCTTTTCATTTCATCTTTCTTCTTTCTTGTTCTTTCTTTATACAAGGTCCCAAATACTGTGGCCAGACTAATCTTTCTGAAACAATGTTAACTACCCTGCTCAAAAACCTTTAGTGGGCCCTTACTGCTCATCTTATCAAATTCAAATCTGTCTTCTTTTCGTGTTGTTGTTCAGGTCTTCCATAATGTGGCCCTGCTTGATTCATCATAAAAAAAAAACAAAAAACAAAAACAAAAACAAAAACAAAAACAAAAAAACAAACAAACCTTATAATCCCTAATATAAGCTTTTCATGCCAATTAAATTCCCACTCTTACTTCACATTTCAGGTTTATAATTTTCATGCTTTTGCTAACATAATTCCCTTCCACCCAGAAGGTTCTTCCCTTCCCTTCTAGTTCTCTAAAGCTACCCTTAAAGTACACTTTAAGGCTTATCCCCATAAGAGTACTAATGTAATAGGAAGTGCCTGGGTGGCTCAGTCAGTTAAGTGTCCAACTTTGGCTCAGGTCATGATCTCATGGTTCGTGGGTTTGAGCCCCGCGTCGGGCTTTGTGCTGACAGCTCAAAGCCTGGAGCCTGCTTCGGATTCTGTGTTTCCCTCCCTCTCTCTGCCCCCATCCCCACCCCCCCGCTCATGTTCTGTCTCTGTCTCTCTTAAAAATAAACATTAAAAAAATTTTTTTTAAGAATAATAATAATAGCCAACATTTCTTGAGCACTATGTGCCATGCACAGTTCTAAACATTTTTCATGCATTAACTCATTTGATCTTCAAAATAAATCTTCTAGTATTGATCCACTCTTTTCCCTCCTATACTTACAATGAATACTACACTGTTAATGTTCACTAAGCATCTACCGTATGTACTTAGGAGAACAAAATAGGCAACATTTATGACACAAAATAGAAAAGCATTAGGTTTCAAGTAAGTATATATATACAGTCACTGTGTGAACATGAAATTAGTCAAGCATTCTTAAGCCTCAATTTCTTCTTCATGACACGTGGGCATAAAAATACCCATCTCACAGAACTGTTGTGAAAATTTTCTAATCGATGTGAAAATGCTTGGTGAACTATAATATACAATGTTGGTGCTAACCAACGTTTCCACAGTTATCTACCATCTGCCAATAGCTACGGTAAGAGATGGGCTACAGGGTGAAAAGCAGATTCTAGTGACTCTAGTGAAGCTAAGAATCCAAAATGTGTCTGACATGAGCCCTGCCCAAATGAAGTCCAGACTGTGCTACCACAGAATTCAGTATTTAATTTTGCAATCATTGTCCATGTGTAGTTTTGTCTTTCCAAAGCTCCTTAAAGAGAGAGTTCTTGTAATTCTTTTCTAACATCCAATGATATGAGGCACACAATAGGCCCCAAAAGTATTTGGTGATTGACTGGGTTTTAGGGGAAAAGAAATCTAATAAGTTACTCTTTTAATGAAATATCACAAAAGTGACTTTGTGACTTCTACAATTATTTTCGGCTAGAAAACTGAGTAGATAAATATCTCTTATAATATGTGTAATGGTATTACTTTTTGAAAAAGTTAACTTGCAAATTCTTTCTTAACATGAAGTTAAATAAAATACGTTACTTACCTGAGGGCAGAGAATGTAAATCCTTTCAAACCATCTTTGCATCTAAAATAATAAAAAATTTTATGCTAAGATAACATGTTTTGAGATATAAAGTAGTATATTAAATAGCTACTAAAATTTTTTTCTGAAATAGATTATTTTTAAAAGGTGAAACTCTTGGGGCGCCTGGGTGGGTGGCTCAGTCGGTTAAGTGGCCGACTTTGGCTCAGGTCATGATCTCATGGTCCGTGAGTTCGAGCCCCGCATCCGGCTCTGTGCTGACAGCTCAGAGCCTGGAGCCTGTTTCAGATTCTGTGTCTCCCTCTCTCTGACCCTCCCCCGTTCATGCTCTGTCTCTGTCTCAAAAATAAATAAACATTAAAAATAAATAAATAAATAAAAGGTGAAACTCTTTTAGGACAGTGATCTGAGCACTATAAATGCAACAAACAATGAAGCAAGCCATCTTACACAGGATGATTAAAATGTCCTATGCCAAATTAACATAATTTAAGGCTCAACTCTCATATTTGCAGATGGAAGACAGATTTAAGTATATCTTCTCAGAGCTCCATGTGGACTTCATTTTTGAAGGCTGGGAGTGGAGTGTTTCACTTTAGGCAATCCCCAGGGGAGCAATTTGTTGAGAAGAAAAGGCCACATACACCTGCTGGGTATTATGAATAGGTCAATTCTAGGTCCTGACTTCTCCCTACTTAATAATTCAGTGAACGTGGAGCAACGAAGAGTTGGCAGACACAAAAAGGCTTCAAGTTTAGTTCACCGGTTTTAACTTCTGAGTGAGCCCAATCGGAACAGATAACATATCCTGGGGAACAGAGTGGGGCTGAGGGGAGGGCACAGGTGCAGAAGCCCAAATAATATTTACTGAGTACTTACTATTGCTGGGCATTGTTTTGGGCCCTTGATGTGTGTTGTCTCATTTAATTATATCACACCTCTTTGAATAGGTATTTCTCTAATCCATAGCTGGGCAGAGCCCCCACTCCTGCCCCCAAATGCAGCAACTTCCAAGAGGTCACAAAATAAATAGCAATACAAATATAGGAAAAAAATTTAAAAGTCCATCTGAATTAAAAGCTTTGGTTTTCTCTTATACCTCCTTCTGAAACACTGTATTCCTTTTAATTGGGGGAAGAGTCAAACTGTGTGACAATTAAGAAAAAATGATTCTCAGATCTGCAAAAAATATTTAAAGATGATTTTAAAACAGGAAAATTACTAGACTAGTTTTAATGGCCTGCTTTATAAGTTATGATCAAGTTAGTAAAGAATTACTGGGTATCTAATATCAAAATCCCTTGGAGAAACTATAGAGATTGGTGATACAATGACGCTCTAATGTATGTTAATTTTAGACACTGGATATTCCTGGATAAAATGTACAGCCTCAAATCTAATTGGGCAATTCTCACAGTATGCCTTTTACATGGAAAGGTCACCAAGGAAATGCACAAAATATAAGAAACCTATCTTGACAAGTTTAAATATATACATTTTTACTGGAGGACACATAGAATCTCAGAAAAGAATTTAATTTAATTTAAAAGATCAGAGATCTTTTAAAACACTTAAGAATTCATTTTAATTAAGCAACATGATCTACTTTGTGGTCATGTTAGCAGTGAGAAATGTAAGCAAAGAATTTAGCGAACATACTAACATAATTATCCACCCCACACGGACTGAGGGTAAAGGCAAAGTAATTCATACGTTAAGCTAAAAATGTGCATGGGAAAATTGTAGCATTAAAATTCTTAAACTTATCCTTTTCCATCTAAAGAAAGTGTTTCTCAGTAACTTAAAACCCATAATTGGGCAATTTCTAGATAGGTGGGGTGGTGAAGGGGTAGGCTAAGAGTCTATTGACTGGAAAACAGCGGCAGATTGATTAAAAGATTATATACAAGGGGGAACAAATTTTTGGCTTTGGTATGTTATTGTTAAAAGATAGCCATTTATCTTTGTGCAATGCTGAATAGATAAAGGATTCTGACAACTTGGTCTAGTCAGGATTGCATATTTGTGACCTTAAACAATAAATCTAATTGCAGACCAAACATCAAAAAGTAGCTTTCAAAAAAAAAAAGGGGGCATGCACAAATGAATTTGCAATTTCATTATGATGGAAGTTTGGTTCTTTCAGCAGAACCCTGTGGGAAGCACTTCATATTGATAAAGTCTTAGCCCTAATTCAAAAGAGGCTATTCTTTTTTCCATTCATGTGTATAAGGTCTGTTAATGTAATTGAGGGTCAGATGTCTATGTCAAAAGAACAAAAAAGTAATTATTCCCATAAAAAGAATCTTTAAAATAGTAATATCTCCCTGAATTTTGATACCAAGGGTATTGTCTGAGCTTTAACCTAACTAGGAAACACTATTGTAATTGGAATTAAATGTATAAAGTCTGATACACACACAAAGATTTATACAAAACACCCCATTAGAAGGGTGCCTCACTATTTAATGGATTTGGTTATTATAATGCAAATCAAATTACATTCTCCATTCACGTATTAAGGTTCACTGACTTACTCAACAAATATTAACTGAATGCCTACTATGAGGAAGCACAAGTTTAAAGGATGTAACAGTAGACAATACAGAATCTCTGTTTTCATACAGCTGACCCTCTATGTCCGGGAAAGGTATGACAAAACAAGTAAATATGTCATGCGGTGATAACTGCTATGGCAAAAAACAAAGCAGGATAAGAGGAGAAACAGATGGGAGTTAGGCCTTATTATTTTACATAGTGTAGTCCAGAAGGGCCTCTCCAAGAAGGTGAAATTTGATAATTTGATCAGAAGCCTTATAGAATTGAGGGAACCGCATTGATTTGAAGGAAGAGCAAGTACAAAGTCCCTGATGAGGAGTGTGCATGGCATGTAAGGAGAACAGCAAAGTAGATTACTGTAGCCAGAGCCGAACAGGGAAGGGAAGCAGTGGTAGGAAATGAGGTCACAGTAACAGTGTGGAGGGAAGGAGTGGTCTACAATTCTTGTATGGCCCTCTAGGCACCCTGAAAACTTTGGGTGGTTCTCAACAGAAGAGTGACAAAGATCTGTCTTAGATTTTAAGATTATCTTTGGCTGCTAGTTGGAAAACAACAGGAAGACAAAGTTAACAACAAAGAGGCTAATCAGGAGGGGAAAGATGATTGTGGCCTGACTAGATAATGAAGTGGCAGAGGTAAAGACAAGTGGGAGGATTCTGAATGCATTTCAAAAGCAGAGTTGGTAGAATTTCTCGATGGACTGAATGTGTAGTACAAGAGAAAGAGAAAATTTACTAATTAGTAGAATATTTGGGGTTTGAGCAAATAGAAGGATAAAATGTCCATTTACTGAAGTGAAGAAGACTATAGGAGAAACAGGTTTGAGGAGAAAATCAAAGTTTTATTTTGGACATGGTAAGTTTGCGATTCATGTTATCTATAAATGGAAATGTTAATGAAGCAAGCAGCTGCTATACAGGTTTGGGTTCAAGGAAAAGGTCTATTCATTTATAAGCAGAACTTGAATCCATAGGACTAGATACAATCATCTAGGAGAGAAGTGCCAATAGAGAAAATATCCTAGGACTGAGAATATTTTATTCCTCCATATTTTATAGTGCTGAAAATCTCTTCTAAAGCGGTGGGGGGGGGGGGGGCGGCGCAGTCGGTTAAGCTTCCGACTTCAGCCAGGTCACAATCTCGCGGTCTGTGAGTTCGAACCCCGCGTCAGGCTCTGGGCTGATGGCTTGGAGCCTGGAGCCTGTTTCCGATTCTGTGTCTCCCTCTCTCTCTGCCCCTCCCCCGTTCATGCTCTGTCTCTCTCTGTCCCCAAAATAAATAAACGTTGAAAAAAAAATTTAAAGCGGTGGGGGGAAACAAAGTCCTTTCTCTTTCTAATAAAATCATTCTCTAATACAAAGTCTTGTTGTTATTTTTGAGTGTGCATAAAAATATAATGCATATAATGCATGTATACATAGACTTTTCCATTACAGTTAACCTATGTAAATGACATAAATAACTAGTATGACTCCATCATAGTCAATGAATCTCTACATTTGTAATGTTATGTGCAGGAAAGAGAAGGAGGAAAAAATTGCAGCACTATATCAAACAACTTAGCTGACACAACTAATTATAGAGGTTCAGGCTACAATTAAATAGTGTATGAGAAAGTATAAAGTTTATTGTTATTAGAATATACTTGGTCAAATGCCAATGTGAAGGGGAGCCCACAAACACAATTTTTTTTCAATTATAAGTGTAAATGATAGTTAAAAAAACAATTCTGCCCACAAAGATTCTTTGTTTCATGCTTAACTTCCATGAAATTACTTCCAGGAGATACTTTTATCTTTATTACCACATTATACCAGCAGATGTCACTAGTAAACCATTTTTGGAAGAATTTCAAAATTAGAAGATTCCCCTTTGAACCTTGGCAGGAATAAGTTCCACATCAGTAAGTATTACAAAAACAATAAGCAAATATTAGTAATAACATTAATAGCAGCCAGTATTCTCAAGACAAATTAAGGATTTTTTGTATTTTTTTTACGTTTTTTTATTCTCAATGTTGGTGAGATAATCTGTATTACTAGTGATTTAGAAAAATAGTTTAATTTAAAACATCAATACTTGAATACTTAGAAAAAAGATTAAATGGTGCAAAGTTATTCATCTCTATTTCACCAACACAATGCCAGAGAATGTGAACTCAAAGTGGTCAACTTCACTAATAAATACTGCTATCAAAGTTTTGCCAGAAGGCATAAAATTACTAATGAAAATAGATGGTTTAGATTAAAATTTTTTGAAATTATGTTCCCAATGAACATGGACAATTGGGTGACAACAATGATAAAAAAAAAACTCATTAAGTATCAATTTCAGAGTTATTTTGTTCATTTTTAATCACTGAATTGGTTAGAAGGAAACTCAAATACTGTTTGAATATTACATCTTCTATCTTTATTGCCTCACAAATCATTAATTTATTGAGCACCTAATATAAAGAAGACACTATACTGCTGATCTCTCCT